TGCTGAAGGTCAGTTATGCAAGAAAAAGAAAGATCTGGGCCAATGACAATAAATCAAGAGTTAGGATTTGTTTTGTTTTTGGTTTTTTTTCCCCTTCCTACTGAGCAGAAAAAAAATTTAAAGTTAAAAAAACACACAGAGACACAAAACCCCACCTAGAATTTGCAGCAGAAGGAGAGAAATGAATGAGAAAGTGCAGGAAAAGTAGGAAGGACAGTAATGCAAGTCATGGCTCAGAACCAGGAGACAGAGCGACTTGGGAAGAATAAGTGAAGAGGGGTGGCATTTGAGGGAGGAACAGCGGCCTGGATGGTGACGAGTCAGGAGGAGGAGAGATGGGGCAGGGCTTATCTGGCTTGTGCTTCCCAATGGCCATTATTGCTACATGTTTTGTTTGTTTGTTTTGAGACAAGGTCTGTCTCTGTCCCCCAGGCTGGAGTGCAGTAGCACAATTATAGCTCACTGCAGCCTCGAACTCCTGGGCTCAGGTGATCCTCCCTCCTCAGCCTCCAGAGTAGCTGGGATTATAGGAGAGTGCCACCACACTCGGGTAATGTTTTTATTTTTTGTAGAGACAGGATCTCAAAATGTTTCCCAGGCTGGTCTTGAACTCCCATGCTCAAGCGATCCTCTCACCTCGGCCTCCCAAGGTGCTTGGATTACAGGCCTGGCATGAGCCACTATGCCTGGCAATGATTGCTAAAGCTTTTTATTATCTGGTGCTTAAGAACATTACCTCCTCAATGTTTACATTCCTCTCATTTTTTAGACTACAGGAAATGATAAAAGGAAAGAAAATAATAAAGCCTCAGTTTGCTTTCAGCCTTGTTGTGCCAGAAGGGAGGAAATCTCCGCCAAATTCTTCCTTGGGTCCTAAGGAGGCATTCAGTTCCCCTCACCTGAGAGTCAGGGAAGCTCAGCTGAATGTGATCCTCCTGGCAAATGCAGAAAGGCAGTGCCATGTGCATATTTTACTTTATTTTATTTTTTTGAGTCAGAGTCTCACTCTGTTGCCCAGGCTAGGGTGCAGTGTCATGCTCACAGCCACCACAGCCTCGACCTTCTGGGCTCAGGCGCGTCTTCCAAGTCGCTGGAACCACAGGTGCGCACCACCAAGCCCTGCTAATTTTTTTTATTTATTGTAGAGACAAGGTCTCCTCACGTTGCCCAGGCTGGTCTTGAACCCGCTAGCTCAGGCAATCCTCTTGCCTCTGCCTCCCAAAGTGCTGGGATTATAAGTGTGAGCCACCGCATCCAGCAGCCATGTGGATATTTTAAAACAAGATGATTTTACTGAGGGGAGGACTGCCGTGGTTCTCTAAAAATGGGAGGGTTGCTTCCCCTTATTAGAAAGGGACACCTAGGGAGCAGGGAGGGAGGGAGACGAAAGGGTGGGAAAGGTGCCATTTGTTCAGAGCTCAGTTGAGCACTTGGTCCCACAGGTGGGCACAGAGTCTAGAGCAGATGAGGCAGAGGAGTTTACAGACAGGGGCATCTACCATCCCTCCAGAGCTTCCTGAGAGTCTGTAGAGGGAGCCTTGTGCAGTCCCCCTGATGTACCCCGAGATTGAGTGATGCGTCCACAGCCTGCAGCTGGTGGGGGCACAGCTGGGAAGCACAATCGTGCTGGAAGAGCCTGGCCCTTCACCTCCGGGGGCAATTCTGTGGTTCTTTCTGCCATGGTCACGACGGGTGATTTTAGGGGTATTGGAAGATGTGGGTTCAAGACGGCAGCTGATTGAGTCAGGATTACTTCTTTTTTTTTTTTTTTTTTGAGTCGGGGTCTCACTCTGTCACCCAGGCTGAAGGGCGGTGGCATGATCGCAGTTTACCGCAGCCTCAACCTCCTGGTCTCAGTGATCCTCCTGCCTTAGCCTCCTGAGTACAAGAGGCTATGGTTGCCGCCATCACAAACAGCTAATTTTTAAATTTTTTGTAGAGACGAAGTCTCACTGTGTTACCTAGGATGGTCTCGAACTCCTGGGCTCAAGCAATCTTCCTGCCTTGGCCTCCCAGAGTTTGGGATTACAGGCGTGGGCCACCATACCCGGCCTCGAGTCAGGATTACTTCCTATGGAATTCTTCACTCCAGAATGTTGTTTTCTTTTTTTCTTTCTTTTTTTGAGTTGGAGTCTCACTCCTGCGCCCAGGCTGGAGTGCAGTGGCACGCTCACCGCCACTCCAGTGTTGACCTTCTGGGCATCAGTGATCCTTCCGCCTCAGCTTTCCAAGTAGCAGGAACTATAGCTGCGCGCTACCACGCCCAGCTAATTTTTGATTGTAGAGACAAGGTCTCACCAAGTTGCCCGGGCTGGTCTCAAACCTGTAGGCTCAGGCAATTGACTTGCTTCGGCCTCCCAAATTGCTGGGATTATAGGCTGAGCCACTGAGCCCGGCCCAGAATGTTGTCTTCTAACATCAAGAAACTGTCCATTATCCAGAATGTGAGAGGACATGCACTTTGACAGCTGCATGCGTTCCTTTCTGAACACATTGAAGTAATTGCTAAGGATCTTTTTCTTATTCCCTTTTGGTAGGGAATAAAAAAATCACTGTACATGAGAGGAAAATCTGTGTGGATGTGTTTTTTTTGTTGTTTTTTTGTTGTTTTTTTGAGTCAGAGTCTCACTCTGTTGTCCAGGCTGGAGTGCAGTGGCATGCTCACAGTCACCGCAGCCTCAACCTGCTGGACTCAGGCTATCCTTCCGCCTCAGCCTTCCAAGTAGCTGAAACTACATGTCACCACACCAGACTTATTTATTTATTTATTTATTGTAGAGATGAGGTCTCACCAAGTTGCCCAGGCTGGTCTCAAACCCCTGGACTCAGGCAGTTCTTTTGCTGGGTCTCCCAAAGTGCTGGGATTACAGTCTTGAGCCACCGTGCCCAACCCTGGATATGTTTTATGAATGCTGTTCTTCACCTCTGAATTCTACATGATCTGTGCATTTATTTAGTGAACAGGTTTGTGGTACCAGGCCCTGAGCTAGGGTCAGCTGTGGCTTTCCCTGAGATCCAGTCAGGAAAGGGCCCTGTTTTCAAGGAGCCAATGGACTGGAAAGGCATTACAGTCCAGTGTGGGGTGGGTAAACGCACCTGCCGGTGCCTGGAAAGTCAAGGAAGGTGACCTCTAACTTGAAGGAGGGGCGAGCTGGAATTGTCCAGGGAAAGTCGGGAGTCGGGTGCAGAAGAGGCTTCCGGGCAGGGAGGACAGCGTTTGCAAAGGCTTGGAGGAGACTGGATCTCAAGTTAAATCATTAAAACTGGAAAATCATGTCAATCTTATCGTGCTTTATCCTTGGTTGCTACAAGACTTGGTTAAACAATCTGGCTTTTCACCCCCTCTCTTCATTTCACTTTGGGGAGAACCCTCAGGCCCTTGGCTCCTTCCCTGATGGATGCCTGAGTTGAGGGGTCTCAGACCCTTTGGACACAAAGATGGCACTGCTGAGCCCTGCTTTGGGAAGGGGTGAATGCAGGCAAGGCTTTGCAGTGGTCTGGCCTCTACCTTTTGTCCTGGTCCTCCCTGAGATAGCTATGCCTCTGCCAGAAGGCTGAGGCAGGCAGAGTCAGGGACAAAGGCTGAATCCACGAGCCACGTCTCACCCCCTCTTCCCCCAATTTTAGGACCTCAGTGTTGGGACTGCCAGGTTTCAGCCAAACCTCCACCTTCCCTGTGGCCAGGAGAGTTGGCAACCTCCACATAAAATCCTCAGTGAGGTTTCTGGGAGAGAAATGACCTTGGCTTTGGTATGTAGTTCCTGGTGACATTGAACATTCTTAAATTCTAACAATCATTAAACAAGTCATTTTTACATTTAAAGGCAGAGTTTTGCTAGAATTCCAAAAATGCCTCCTCCTTATGCCTCAATTTTCTTTTGGTTTCACCCATGCTTTGACCTTAATAAACTCTTATACCTACGTACACAGGATAGTACCATATGTTTGTGTGTGTGCGTATGTGTGTACACACACCTACTGGGCTCATAGTTCAGCTCTCAGAGTTCACAAATTCACCCTGGGCTTGTGAATGAACATTCTGAGGCTCAGTTTCCTCTCCTGAAAAATGGGGATACGATGGTGCTGGTTTCATAGGGTGTTCAGGGTTAAATGGGATTTTGTTTATACAATGCTTAGCGCAGTGCCTGGCACAGTGTTAGCTTTGAATAAATGGTAACTATTATGTGCACAGAAAAAAAAAAGACCGCACAAAAGTGTTGGCAGCATTTATCTCTAGTGGGTGGGATATGGTTACAATGAACATCTATTACGTTTGTAATCAGAGAAAAAGAACAATAAATGTTATTATTAATTTAAAAATCTGGGTTTGGCTTTGTCGGAAGGAACCTGCAGTTAATGTCAATGAACCAACCCCCAAGTAAGAGAAGGCCTTCTGTTTTTAGACCAGGACTGTAAAGACAGACACCGGGCTCCCAACCCCGCCCCATCAACTAATGGAGACTATAACAAAGGGAGAGACTTGGTCGGAAATCCAGAGACATGTCACCTTCATTTAAACTTGCAGTCCCCCCCAACTACTGCGGTTTGGAGGGCTGGCAGGAGGATTCAGAGATGGTGACTTGACTTTCAAAATAAGGCTTTCTCTTCCATTGAGAGGGTGCTGTCGTTCTTAGCTGGAAATCTGACTCTCCAGGAACGATTCCAGGACAGTGACATTTACCCTTTACTGGGCCTTCACTCAGGAATCTCAAAAAATAAAACATGCACTAGCCCACTTCCAGCTGGGGGACTGGGATTGTCCTGGTCTGGCATCCAGGACAGTATGAGGCCCTGGCCCTTGGTTCTGTCTCTGGAGATTCTTGACTGCTAGCCCGGTGCCGGGCGGCAGCGGGAGACAGAACCCACCTGGAGCTGCGCGAGCCTCTCCAGACCTCTCCTTGCTCTTCCTGGGTCGTCCCCTGACAAGCAGGAAGGGACAGAGTGCCTACCGCCTCGGATTATCGCAGAACTATCACCCGCACGGGCTGGCTTTTGAGCCACTTTCTCTCTCCCCTTCCGCACTCTGGGGGTTGGGGGGGGATATTGCTGCTGGCTCTGGAATAAAATGCCGCCTCTGTTTGGGAGACAAAGAACAGTGGCTCCTCCGGGTCAGCTGTCTCTGCTGGCCGGCCAGCCCTGGCCTCCCGCATGCCTCTTTGGAGGCTCCAGGCGCCCAATGAGGAGGGCCTTCCCAGGCTAGACTCGGAGCTGCTGCACCAGGGGCGTGTTTTCACTGGAACTCGAAGGAATATTTTACCTTAAAAGACCTCGAGCTGCTTGCCCGCTGAGATGTTCATTTGCAGGGGTGGGGGTGGGGGGCAGGAGGTGCTGTGGCTAGGGAGGCGGCCCGGTCGACGGGGTGGTACCAGCGCGACAGAGTGCATGTGCGCACCAGCGCGCGTGAGAACACGGGGGGGGGCCCGTGTGCTAGCTGGTGTGTGAGGGCGGTGAGAGCGACGGCATGGCCGAAAACGCGTCCTGGGGCGCGTGCGCCCGTGTGAGAGCGCGGGTGTGAGTGCTGGCGCGAAAGTTTCGCACCCAGGTGCGCGGCCGTGCCAAAGT